AAGGATACTGGCCACCGGACCATTCGCAGACTGATCGAAGCCAGTGATGCTCGACTTCAATGATCTGCTGGGACCGTGTCTTAACGACCAGTCTGTTGCACACTTTGATGCTTTTTAACAGGAATTCAAAATTAAATATATTAATGAGAACTGAATTATTTATTAAAGTTGAAATGACAACAAAGAAATAAATGATAATTTCAAGGGGTAACAGTTGTAATTGTCAATAATCAACAGAAGCACTTTGCCAGTGAATTTCTGTGCAATCACAGGTACAATTTCACCCAATGCTTGAAATTTAAAAATTTCTAGAATTAATAGTAAACATCCCCAGTATTGCTAAGAAAGTACCCCCCCCCCTTTTAAATTCCGAACAATAAAAATTTGATAAAGATTTTGGAAGCAAATTTGTAAATTGGATACACAATATATCAAATTTGTATGTAACATTTTATGGACATTCTTTGATAACAACCTAATTTATGATATTGCAAATTAAGAGAAAAACTTACTTCAATCCATTTTTCTTGTTTGACTTCTCCTTTATTTGCACTTGGCTTTGGTGTATAATTTTTCCCACCATACTTCTCATCTTCAGTAACGCATTTCGTGTGAGTTTTATAGTCATCTCCCCTGTAAGAATATTTCATGTTACTAAGACTTGCTTTTACCAGACAGCCACAAAAAAAATTTTTTTTTACAAATATAACAAGTCAAAGCTTTGAAAATAAAAAAAAATTAAAAAAAAAAAAAAAAACAACACAAGAGACCCACATTTCATTAATTAGGATTAGGACTGAGCGATATAAGAAACTCGAAATCATGATATGTCGTCTGCTAGACATTGCGATACAGTGATGCATCCTGATGTAACATATGTTAGAAAATTATCAATGCAAAATCTTTTAATCAATCAAAAATAAATAAGAGGAACAAAGCTATAACAAAAGAAAATGTTAAATCTTATAAAAAATGCTTCTATAACATCACTAGCAGAGCTTAATTGTTTAAATCAAAATAATGTAGATAGATTGACTTAACCCCAGTGTCTTAGAGTAAAAGCAAACGTAAGCTTTGATTTGATTTAACTTTATTTTTTAAAAAATAAAAAATGGTTTAAAATTTATTGGTATGATATTTTAATGACATGTATTAAAACGAACCGAAGAAATGTTCAGTTAAGAAAAGCAATTTTCAAAATTATTTGTTGGAAGCATGCACTCTTTAAACATCGTTCGACCGTTTATTTATTTACTTAATAATAAAGTTGTATCAACTAATGGTCAAATTCTATACATAATTAATTAAAAAATAGAAGTAAGTTTGAATTATAATTAGTTCCTATTTCGTAGAGGCATTTATTTGTGTCAGCTAGAAAACCATGCAGCCAGCTAGCAAAGAAGCACGGAAGTCTGAGGTAGGAGTAACAAGGATGTTCGGAGGTAAGAAGATCAAGGAGAGTAGTTCCTAGGCGGAAGGATACTGGCGGATGAACAGGACTGATAGGAGAACAGCCTTCTCTCCCCTATTGAAGCAGCTGATCTTTCGTAATCTGAATCGCAGCTTCAGGAAACTAGTCTTGATATTTTGAGGCCCACCTTTAGAGGAAATGCTTGCTATCAACCAGTTTAAAGTTATTATGAATAACCTTTTGGAGTTTGGTTTGCTGTTAGATTATAAGCCTTATATTAAAGAAAGATGTTCCAGCACACTAGTATTTTTATTGACACCAAGCTACCATTAACCAACATTTTTGCAAAATAAATTCTATTGAAAAATTAGTGAAAGATTCTTCGATTCATACTTTTTCAAAATCTTGCCTCTATAATTAAAAGCTGTTTTTTTCTCCCCCTCTCTCAATACATTAACATAATTTCTTTCTCTTTACATTAGTTCTGAAAACTTAAATAACAAATCCAAGAAAATAAAGGTACAATAAGAAATCAACAATTATTTATACAATTAGTGAAGGATCTCTCAGGTACGAACTTCCGCGGTTATAAAATTATGTTGCCTTTATTAAATCAAATTAACCAAAAGGAGATGGAAATTTCAAAGTGAAGCTCTGTGATTGTTGACTGCTTTCGACACATGTGAAAATATTAAACATGGTTTAAACAAAACAACCAAGTTTTTCTGTTTCTACAATAGTTTTGCCTAGCCTAATAAGTACAAAAGAAACAAAATCTATACAAACCAAAACTCTGTGCCACAATCCATACAAGAAAGTGATTTGCAATTCCGACATTGAAAAGAACAATGCTTTTCAACTTGATTTTTCTTCACAGACTGGCCACATTCTGAGCAGGTAAAAAACACCATAATCTAAATGTGAAGAAAGAAAAAAATGTAATTACATAAAAATATTGTCTTTAACTAAGACCATCCAGTGTCAGATGGACAACGTACCAATCTTTTCAGTAAGTTACAAACTGATACAAATGAGCATCAGTTACATGTACCAGACACTTTTTGAGTTACACACAATTAATCTTAAATTGTCTAAATTAGAAGAGCTCAAAAATTATAAGCAAAGCTTCCACTTAATATAACTTAAATTTGCTTAAAATTCAGGCCCTGTGCATTAAATGCCATGAAAATTTTTCAATATTTTGTAGCATATTTCACATACAGCATTCATTATTAGTTTGAACGAAATTATAAATGCATAACTAACACAAATTCTTAGATAAATTACAGAATAATACACTCTAATTTTAAATAAAACTGTTTATTTCTGGTATTTTAACCAGCTTCCAAAAGAGTACATATGTTGTTAAAACACAAAACTAGAACTGTAACACAACTCTATTTTAGAAAGGGGGGAGGGAAAAAAACAGCGCTAAAAAACTTAAACAATTTTTAATTATTTTAAACATACAGTGTTAACAAAAAAGAACATCATACAAAAGAACAAAACAGAAAAAACATCAGCGGCGTAACTAGATCAATGGTTATCGTTTTTTAAAAAATTATAGACGTTTTCAAATAAATGATCTAGTTCATCGCTTTTAACATCCACTCGCGCTTCGATTATGAGGCAGAATTAAAACTAGAATGATTTGAAATTAAAAAATAGTTAACAAGTTCAGTTTCTCGGGAATCTTCAGTCTTCTTCCAGATTTACTAAATTTCGGTGCATGTTTGATGTTGGTGGATTCATTCAACTGGTCCGACTGCTAGGAATGGTCCATTGCTTCCATGCTGCTCTTCAAATATTGAGGACCATCTGAGAATGCGATTTCCAATGGGTATATTCGTTGTATAGAATGAAGCAGCTGATTAGTCGACGTCTGTTCTTTGACAAGACGAACTTCTCTGAATCTGACCTGAAACCATAGTAAAAACTCTTCTCCTAACTCACATTTGATGTCTTCATCCCAGCTTATTCCTTTTTTCCATGCTTTCTGTAATATTATTTTTGGACAAAGCATGACTGGATAGAAGAAACCAAAAGGAACAAAGACTTTGTGAGCCGTAGATAACATGCTATGTTTAGTTACTTTGCTTTAACATAATTCATCCAGCTCAAGTCAATTTTTCTCTTCTTTCATTTCTCTCAATTTCCATTCTCAAAGCTCAAATCTTCCTTTGGACATAGAGTTGTTGAATCCTGTACAAATTTTTCTACTTCTTTATTATCAATACTAGTGACAATATTGTCAACACAAAAACTTTGAGCTAACTATTCCCTAAATTTAATATCATATTCGTCATTTCATTTTTTTAAATGCAGGATCTATGAGATGCTGAACCTAAAAGTAATCTTAGACTTACCAGTACAACTCTTTATCTCCATATACCAACCAGTACAGCTTTCAAAGTCTGAAGAAATACTCCTGTACTACGCTTATTTAAATTAGACATGGTGACATTATTTTCAACTGGCACCTCTTCTTCTTTTTTCATCAAAGTCTTTTACGGTTCCAGTTTATCACACATCAACATGACATGTTTCCTAGAGCAAATAAGGCATCTCATCTTAATGCAGCTCGGCACTTTTTAACTGTGCGCCCAATATCTAGACAAGCAAAACAACAATGTTTCTCTTTAACAATGACCTGTCTTTCTTAAAAACTCATTTTTTGAGATGAAAAACATTCAGCACTTGTATGCTTGCCATCACAAAATATACACTTAAATACAACTGAAGTTAATGCTGTGGTCAACAAATTGGCAGCAGTGGAGTGTTGTTATAAAATGTAGGATTCCTTTGTCATTATTTCGGTTTGTAACCCTGAGTGCACTTCGGCTCATTTAATCCAAAACCCAACATCGCCAAATTTATTTGCTCTACTTCAAATTCTGCCTTTATAAATTGCATTAGGTTATTCAACCTCTCCTTGGCGTCAACAGAAGCAAACAATAATGGATGACAATTCCAAGCCTTCAAAAAAGCCTCATTAAAACAGGATTCTATCATAGGGTATAATATCAACACACATTTTTCAGTCACAACACCTAAAGTTTCCAAAACTTTCATATCTGGTTCAAGTTCATCATATAAAGATGTCATAGAAAATTTCTAATTTTTATCTACAGAAATTACTAATTTCAAAAGCTCTCTAACGTACATCTCTATTAACAAATAATCTCTACCGAAACGGGTTTTCAAGCCTTCCACTGCTTTGGCATAATTGTCACTAGTTGATGGAAAACTCTCCCCTATCTCACGAGCACGAGATCCAGAAACAGTGGCTTGAATTAAGTACTGAAACTTGTTTTCAGGAGATATGTTGTCATCTTTATGAATATGTTCAAACTGACTTCAAAATGGTGGACAGTCATTAATATTACCAGAAAATTGCCAAAACTCTAGATGAAATATTCTTCTAGCGCTAGTTTCAGATAATGTTGAATTTAAACTTACTTCTACAGTAGAGCGTGTTCGAATTCTCGCCAACTCAAGTTCGTGCAATCTTTCTTCTTCTTTTTGTTTCCTTGCTTTTTCTTCTTCCTCCTTCTGTTTCCGTTCAGCGATAGTCATAATTAAAATAGACATGACGAATTCTGAATCACCTTTGTACTCATCGCTGTTAAGAATTAACTTTTTTAAATCAGAAATTTTTGCTCTTGCTGGTATCACTTCACCAATTTCTTCAGCAACCAGCAACAAATCTTCTTTCTTAAAACTTTTAACGGTAGAAAACATTGTTCTAAAACAAAATGTCCTGTCAAGGACACCAAAAATTTTTTAACAACTCTATTTTAGAAACGGGAGAGAAAAAACAACAACTTTAAATTATTTTAATCATACAGTGCTAAAAAAAAGAACATCAAACCAAAGAACAAAACAAAAAAAACATCAGTGGCACAACTGGATCAATGGTTATTGTTTTTTTTCTCAAAAATTTATTGTCGTTTTCAAATAAATGAACTAGTTCATCGCTTTTAATTTATTTTCGTTTTCAAATACAGTAGGGAACCGATTATCCGGAACATCGGGACCATCACTATTCCGGATAACTGATTTTTCCGGTTTTCTGAATCGCTACAAAAAGCCGTTTTTTTTAATTGTTAAACCCAACAAAAAAATAATAATTTTAATAATCTTAAAAAGAAGAAAAAACGATGGAGTAATACACTAATGATTATTTCCAAAATGATGGTAAGGTAAACATCTTTCAAAAAAGAAAGAAAAATCCTAAAATCTTATAAGGGAAAAAAAAAAAAAAAATTTTCTCCAAAAAATGGCGGGAAAATTTATCGAATTTCCTTCCGGTTTTTTGGTTTTCCGATTTCCGGGTAACGGGTTCTGTACTGTAAATGATCTAGGTCATCACTTTTAACATATGTTCCTCTCAAACTGTTTTAGAACACTTAAATAATTTAAAGAAAAAAAAACTTTTATAATTATATTGCAAACTTAAATTGTTTTATGTAATTTTTGTCAAAAATATCTTTAAAAAAAACATTCACCAAAAAACTATAGTGAATGCAAACAATAGAAATTATATTCAGGGTCACCACTCGATTTCAGAAAAAAAATCTATTACCATATTTTATCTATTTTTCCATAAGAAAACTTATTTTTGCTTTTATAATGTCAAAAGAATCAGAATTTGAGTGCAAAAAAGAATATTAAATAAATATGGAAGCACAAAAATTAAGCTAAAATATGACATCTTTATAACAAATAATTGTAATTGAAGTTAGAATTATTTAACCTAAATTTTAATAACTGATTAATGTTACTAACAATTCTGAGATTGGTTATTTTCTAGGTATGATGTTGTAGAAATTAACCAAGCTGCAGGGAAAAAAAGCTCAAACTTTCTCTGCCTTTTAGAGTAAAAATAAAATTTCCATACAACTACAGGTTTTTCCTGTTATCCCAGATTTGTGGGAGCCCTGAAAAATGTTTTAAAATAGGCATTTTCATAATTTTCTTGATATTTTCATGTTGAAAAAATGGATATTAAAATGTGACTAATTTAATACATAAAAAATCCATTAATGGCACTGCATTAACATATCAGTTAAATTGAAATCAATATTATCAGCTTTAGGTCATCAGCATATCATCAGAGTCTAAATAAGTTTAACTAGTTTAGTCAATATACACAAATCCAAGAATGAGCCTGGTTTCTCTGAAATAGGCTCAAAATGCATCTGCTTCTCTGAACTTGATATACTTGTAACTAGGACTGACTTAAAAATCAGTGTATCGCGAAATATCGATTCAATGCATATATCGGCAGGCGGATACTATCAATTTCGTTTAGGCAATGCATCAGAAATCTGATTTAAGCCGTAATCTAAGACAATGTTGTGACTGAGCTGTCGAAGTGTCTAGCTACGAAGACGATGTTAGTTTCATGATGTTGAATAACGAAAAGCGAATTGAATCAGAGCCCCAGGTTTCGTGTGAGGATCAGCATTGAAATAGAAAGCTATGCATAGTTTCTTTATGCACCATTTTTGTATTTGGAAGTTTACTTAATTCTTTAAGATTATTTTCAGCAGGATTTACATTATTTTGTGATAGCTATTACTTAAAAATCGTTGATTAGTTACTTAACAATTGATTCATTGTACATTATTTCATCACCTTTTTCTTTGCCTGTCAGGATGTAATGATTCTTGTTAATTATTTTTAGTAGACCTACTGTTACTTGGCGATCATTGTGCAATCGCTGTTATGTTAAATTTCCGCTCTTTGTTCTGAACTCAATCTATGAATGAAATGAAAATATGAAGAAAAAAAAGATTCTTCATTGTTTTTTTAATTATTGTTTTACACTGTAAGCGATAAAATTTAATAGGGGTATTCTGTATTTAACTTTGTTTTAAAAAATTTATTTTTTTGAAATTTATTTAATGCACATAAGTATAGGTAATAATTCGATTATTTTTAAACAAATAAATCATCAGTCATTTTTAATTATAAAAAAAATTTGGCTAGTAGTTAAAACAAATACTTTTTTGATTGAATAGTTAAACAATGTTTTGACACTTTGTAATAACCTAAAAATAGTACTTAAGAGTATTTTTTTAAAAATTCTTTCAATACTTGTTTGTTTCATAATTTGTTAGACAGTCAGTATAAATCCCTAGTCAATTTTATTTTCAAAAATGATAATAATAAATAAAATTTACTTTAATTTATTTATAATAAAAAAATCTTACATTTATTTTTACATTAATTAAGTATCGAATTAGACCATTAGTTAATACTTTTGTAAAATATTTGGTTAGTTTTTTATTTTCAAACTTAAGTAATTTTTAATTTTAAAAAATTAAAATAAAGCTTGGGTTTGTTTTTACTTAAGATATTTTGTTTTGTAATAGATTTATTATTTTTATTTATTTTTGATTAATTTAAGGATTTCTGACAGATAACTTTTGAACATATGCTAAATCGCAATTTCTAACTGACGATGCAACACGATATAAAATTTCTTACATCGCCCAGTCCTACTTGTAATTGATTAAGGTAAAACTTAAAACTAGACTCATTCGCAGATGATAAATGATACTAACATTTCTCTGGAGGTTCATATAGATGTTGAATTTTTAAAATATATCCAATTTCTTGTTAGTTTGAGGAATTATATTTAAATATTTTAAAATTTAACATAATTCAAAACTTAATTAATACTAAATGTATATGCTGATGACATATTCAGCTTAAGTATACATATATTTTTAAGCACGAAGTGCAAAATAAGATATGTAGATGCAAACCCACGCTTGCTACAGATTTTAATTTAAAATGCTACAATCCGAGCTCATTCTAGGCTGGATAAACAGGGAGCAGCACCCTGCTGCCCTTTCAGTCAAAAGAATCCACCCTGTTCCCTTGAAGTAAATTAGCGCTCTGAAGTAAATAGACTCCATACCTTTTTTGCCCTTCTTTCCTCAATCCTTCCTTATCCCCCCCCCCAAACTCTACAATGGATTTCTTAAAACTTTTGTTATTTTCAACTCTTTTTTTTTTTTTTTTTTTTTTTTTTTTTTTTTTTTTTTTTTTTTTTTTTTTNATTGCTGTCAATACATAGATTTAAATGGGAAAGGAAAAATAGCCATCATAATCCCTTGTTGCACTTGTCTTTGAAAGTTTACAGTTACTTCCACTATCATTAAATCATATTTATTATTAATCATTTTAATTATTAAATCATAACTACAGACACTTAAAAGCATACATTTATATTTTATTAATATAAGCATGCATTTTAAATAAATTACTAAGCTAATTAGCTCATTATATATATGTTAATTTATTAATAAAAATTAGTAATTAATATGATTACTTTGCTACTTTTTATAAAGTAAAGTTTTTTTTCTCTCTTAATTGACAATGTTTTTTAATAGAAAGTGTAAAGCCCATAGAAAGAAATTATTGCCTTTTTAGAAAATAATGTCCTTTTTTTTTAACTTATGCACCGTGCCCTTTTTTCTGCCTAGAATGTGCTCTGCTACAATTATAAATAAATGCTAAAAGTAAATATTCTTTCTATTTACAGTACAGAAACCACCAGTTACTGGTTATTTCACTAATGAGATCTACTTCTGAAATAAAACCTTAGGTGAAGGAAAATAAAACCTTAGGTGGAAACAAGTTTTAAAATATAATCAATCACTATCCTTACCTATATCTTGGAATTTCACAATTCCAGGGATTTCCCCCCCCCCAATATTTTAATTGAAAAAAGGTTATAATTTGATACACAAATCACAAGATCTTACAAACTCTCGTAAGCATGGCCATCCAAGGCCACTGGTCTACAGAGGTCAAACAACCTTATCTATTAACATATTTTTCAACAACTCAAAACAAACAAATGAACAGCAGGACAAATTTCAATTTCTTATGCATACAGTTTTACTAAGTAGTAGTAATTTAGAAAGAAACATTTACATCATAATTAGTGATAAAATCAGCAATTCTACAACAGACCACTCTCCAGACAAAACAAAATTCTAACAGTAAATTATTTAATTTCGCATATTTTCAAAAGCAAGTTATAAAATTCTCAACATAAGAAATTACATAAATGACTATACTTCTGGGGAGCTGCCTCCAAGAAAGTTAAACATAAAAAATCACAGTAGGGGACCAAATCAAAGAGTATAACTCTTACCCACTCTAAGGACAAGTTTAAAATCCAGTTGGTGCCTTGGTGCGACAGATAACGATTCAGAAATATTCTCAAAATGAATTATGTTTTAAAAACATGTATGAATTTAAAAATGTTCATAGAAATCTAACGTAAATAAAAAAAAAACTTGTTAACCGGTAACTGATATGGGCATCAACTTGCTATAGATTTGATAATCTTAACCTTCTGTCTCCAATCTTTCCAACAGACTAATAATTTATAACTAGTTAGCATAAACTATATTATTATTGATTAGCTTAGTCATATCGGTTTTGCTCAAGTTTGAAGTAGGATTTTAATCCATATGTGCAAGAATCTCATATCAATTACTATGAATAAAACATTGATTCAATCATACATTAACAATAAAACAATTAATTCTAGCCAAAACAAATTTGATCAATCGAGGTAAATATTTTAATATGAAATAAATACATGAAATGTATTATTACACGTGTATAAAATATATTAAAAACATGTGCAAGGATAAAAAAACATTCCATGAAAACTAGAAACACTTACTTTGGGTTAACAGGGTGAGAAAACACAAATAAACGAAAACTTATATTTAATATACGTCGAAGTATAATACAGTACGCAGTAGCCAGTATTACCACGTTTTTTCAATGTTCATGAAGATGGAGGCTTGATTTGAAGTGGAGTGCTTCCAGCTACCTATTTCAATACTGTTGAAAGCTGCTTAAAAACCCAATTGTTAAGAACAATTGTAATCCAAAATCAACTCCTGAACCAAAACTGAAATTTAAAAATAAAACTAATCTTTTCGACATGTGTTTTTGGCAACATTTGGAGTCGAAGGTCATGTAGGCAAACAAATATGGCGATGAGTTAATGAGTGTCCATAATAAATTTTCACAACGATTGTCAATTCGATAGTAAACAAGAAGCAGCTTGACATCACACATCTTCGAGCCATATTTTGTATGTATAAATTAAATATTTAAAATATACTCTACAGCTTTACTCACTTTTTTGCACGTTCAATAGTTAAATCGATTTACTGTTTCGCACCTTCTAAAACATAAATAAACGTAAATCTAACATATGTTTTTATTTGATCTCTGTTTTTATTCGCAAAATGAATTGTGCTATATTAATGTGTGTTTATAAGATTGCATTCAGTACTGTCAATTGTTTTGAAAGTTTAAGTACTATTCTTTATGTTGCAAGTTATTCTGGTGTATTTTGGTATAAAGATAATTTTTTTACGATTCTAATTTTTAATTCAACATTCTCGGTTTACCTGTTAGTAATGTTTTTTTGGATAGAGTTATACAAACTAATCTTAAATTATGACGATCGTTAAATTCATTTTTTGACAGGATAAGACGTGATTTTAATAGGAGGATCGGACGTGAGTGGACAATAATAGTTTTCATAAACATGATTAATGCTAGCAGCATCACAGACAATAGACGGCATGTGCGAAGATTTTCAAGTAATATCATCGTTTCAATATTTAAGCCTAAAGAAACTGCCAGTGGCATAAGAAAATTTTTTTGGAGGGAGATATTTTCGTATTTTGGTCTGTCATGCCAGTTACCAATAGATATTTCCAAATTGAAGTGTTTTAAATTGAAATTTTAAAAAAACAAACAAAAAAACATGCCGATGTTTGCCAAGAAGTGACTACGAACTATATCCTTTGAGTTGGTCCTTAATGTGATCTTTTTTTAATTTCTGGTGGACCACTGCTCAGAAGTTGCCAGTACCTGGTGCCTTGTGGCAGAATCATAGTGACATTGTTGTAGAATGTTACAGAGTTCTTGCAAAAAAAAATTTCCTTTAGGAAATAAAAAAAGATGGATTTCTTTTCTGCAGAGATTTATTTCTTCTCTAAAATTATATGTAAAATAGGCCTTTTTCACTTATTCAATTAGAAAGAAATTCTCATGATGTTTCCATTATTGTTCAGGAATAATGAAGAATATAGAATGTTGAAGTAAAAAAACTTTGGTTTTCTTTTCTACCATGATTTTCAAATGATTTTTTTCTTCAGAATTATTATATTTCTATGTATGTTATGTAACAAAATTATTATTTCCTTTTTCATAAGATTCCTATCACCCACATCGGAGCGAAACGAAATGCTTATGATTTTTCGATTCTTATTTCAGAGTAAAAAATTTCGATAATGACTGACTTCAGCTAGAATTTAAATTAAAAAATATAAGGGGGGGGGGAATCGCAAAAGTTAAAAAGATAGTTCCATTCTAGAAATAAAGTTTTTTCATTCATATTTTTTTTCTCAAGTACACCATATTTGACTTTTATTAAAATTTGACTAAGAGTGGGGATTACGTCTCAAATGTAGATTTGTAGAAAAATAATGTCTTGCTTTTTTTTTTTTTTTTT